AAAATAAAAATTGAACATACATGACTCAAAACAATAAAACATTATTTTATCACAATATAAACTAATTGAAATCAGGGCCTTTGAGAGGAAGAGACAACGGGGGCAACAACCCGTTGTTTTTTTGTTTTTTTTTTCAAAATTTTATTTTAACAATAAATTGAAGACATTGACAGACATGAATAGAATAAATAATAGAATAAATAGAACAATAAATAGAAGACACAATAGAAGACAATGACAGACTATAAGAACTCTACTTTTTATTTGAAGTTAAAACTTTAGTATGAGAAATAAAATATCCATAAAAAAAAAATTAATTTTAAATTCTATTATCATCATTAAATATAAACTAATTTTTATTGTGCGGAAGATGATGCGCTTTTATAGTTAAAATGATAGCTGATAAAACTTCGCTTTGAAGCAGTCAACACTGATAGCACTGACAACTCCGTTAGGTAGTGCGTTCCATGGTGAGCAACGCTGTTGTTGAAGAAATTAAAGCAAACGAGACATTTGCACGATAAAATCGCTGCTATTTCAAGTAGTTGAAGCAAAGGAGAGAACCAGAGCGTCGCATTTTTTACGCAAATAAACCGCCTTGCCTTTACCGGAAGACGGAATGCTTATTCGTTAATGAAACTTGTTGAAGTGAGGCTTTTGGTTTACGGTTAGGATAAACGTATGTTGGTGAAATAAGTTTTAGTTAAAAAAATTCCTTGATAAATAATGAGTTTTGTTTTTTTTTGTTTTATAGTTGACTATGAAAGATTAAACAAGTTGATTGAGAATTTAAAAAAAAAATTGTAAATATTATATATATTTTTTTTAGGTGTTGGTAGCGCGCTTTCCCCAGAATAATGGGATCGGTGGTTCAAAGTTATCTCTGGGAAAGTTTAGCGAGGTCGGTTAGGAATGAGGTACCCGTATATAAGTATATTCTATAGTACCCGTATATACCCGTATAAGTATATATAAGTACCCGTATATATACCGTATAAGTATATATAAGTACCCGTATATACCGTATATAGATAAGACCGTAAGGACTTCTTGAGGCACCTAAAAAAACTTTAAAATATTTAAATTTTTATTTTAAATTGTTATTTATGCGATTGCCGAGTTAGGAAATAAAACCAAAAAAAAAACACTGGTATTTTTTTTACACCGGAGTGTCCTTTGGGAATTGATGTAGCGGTCTATTGTGGACCTATTTTAATGTATTGAATAAATAAAAATGTTTTAAGCGGTATCTTCAATAATAAAACGTAAAACAAAAAATTGGCTAAAGTCTTTTAGAGGATATGAGGTTTACAACCATAACAAGGACCAAAGGCATTTCCTCTTAAAAAAAATATTTCTTTAAAAATTTTCTTTAAAAAAATGGTTATAATCTTTTGAATTTGTATTGGTAATTACAATTTTGTGTAAACGCTTACTGTTGTTACGAACTACGTTTGATTGAACAGCTGCTGGAAGATATTAAAGGGATTAAAAGCTCTTGGTTGCAAATTTTCAAAGAGGTTGTAGCTAAACCGCAAAGATTCAAAACTGAATTTTCTTCTAAAAGAAAGCGTAAATTGAAACGCTTTCACAATGAGGCATCTAACACAGCCCATTTCCACGCCAACCAAACAAAAAGAATTCAAAGTGTACGTTTTTAATGTTGGTTTAGATAGTCTGATCCAGCAGATTGATTCAAGACTTGATCAGGAAAATTGGCAATACTTTTTCCATTCATCTGGTTGGATATGATGATCTTTCCATTAAAAATAGAGCTTGAAAACTTGCACGGTTTTATCCGAGACATGTGAATAGAGGTTCTTATTAAAGAGGTTCACCCTTTTAACAATGCGCGTAAAAAAATTTTCCACTATAAATAAAATCCACTGCAGCAACTCAATCAACTTTTTAGAAAACGTTTAAACGCCTTTTTCCGTGCATTTGTATGATGCTCCGGATTTTCAACACAATTACTGTGTCAGTTGCTGAGGGTGAATGGTCGTTTAGTAAACTGAAGATTGTAAAAAACTCTCTCCGATCACCCATGGACTAGGATTGCGTTACTGACTTTTGGATTATTTCAATTGAGGAAGACTTGATTAAAAAGGGCAACTACGTTGATGATATGGATATTTGTCCGGCCAGAAAAGCTGAAAAAATTAATTTTTAAGTGCCTTTCTTGAAGATTTGTTTGATTGACTTTTTGTTTTATTAGTTTTAAAAATAATATTTTGATTTTGTTTGATTAAAGCTAACGTTTTAATATCAGTTTTAATAAACCGCTCAAAAAGAGAATTAATATTAACACAGAAATACCATGTACTGTATTAGAAATAGATAATTGCTGCGTTCAAAAAAAATAAAATTTTGTAATTTTAGTTTTTTTGAAAACAGAATAAGAAACGGGAAAGTCAAATATAGGCAAAATAGTTTTGTTCCAGAGATGCGCTGCACGATAAGTAATACAAAGATGATTGAATTTCATTCGACTGAATGGTTCATTTACATAATTATTATTTCTCATGACGGTTTTATTTTTAAAGACTTTTTTAGTTTTGAAACCGTTAACGCTTAATGGTTTCAAAACAAAAAAGCCTTTAAAAATAAATAGAGATAAATCTTATTTTCACATATAAACAAAAGATAATTTTTATACATATTTAGTTTATATGCTAGTTTAGTATATATATTTAGTTTATATTTAAGGATTCTTATTTCATTAAAATTTTTTGAGAATTATGAGAACTGATCCGCAGAATTATTTAAACGGATCTTTATAAAAGCTTCATAACCATTTTTTAACATTTTCATGCATTTTGACAGTTTATACCTGAGAAATTATAGAAAATGTTATGATACCTTAGAAATGATAGAAAATGTTATGATAACTTAGAAATGATAGAAAATGTTATGATACCTTAAATAATACGCAATGCTTAAGCTATTTAAAACCATCCTTTAAAAAGAAAATTAATATTTTGGTCTATAAAATGAAAATGGTAGTGGTAGCAATAAAACAATTATAACAAAAATTGTTGGTATTACATAGTAAAACCTTCATGTAGCCATTATTTTAAAAATAGTAACCGATTATCAAAGTAATTGGTAACTTTTTGAGGTATAAGTAGCAAAAAACTAACAAATATAAATTCAAACTGGCATAATCCTTGACCAGTTGACCAATCCGGCTGAAATTTTATCCAGAGTTTGGTGCGGCCATATACTACATTTGTACCAATTTTTATTAAATTTCAAATTTAATTTTGTTTTACAAGTGTTTTAATTGTCGCACTGTAAAGTTATAATTTCACTTAATTTGAACATTTAAATTAAATTATTTTCTACCGACAAAATAAAAGATTTCAAAATTTGTATTACAGGGTATCTTGTTGTGTATGCTCATGTGTCACCCCATGTAAATGGCGTTCTTAGGTCAGCTAAGTTTGCATTATCAGGATCCGTGCTAACTATGAGATGTAACATTAATATAAAGGATTAGCTTGCATACTAAAATGTTTATGTAGAATTTAGTATTAATCTTGGTGAAAATTGTATATAATTGTATATATTTGTACTCTAGGTCAAAAAGTTAAAAATAAAACAAAATTGTAGTTGCTTTATTTTTATCGACTGATAATGTAAAGCAACGATTAAAGCGTTTGTTTGCTGTATTATAAGTTAGCGCTGATAGTTTGAGTTCTTTAGCATTTGCCTCCCAATACTTAATGCAGCGTCTTTGGTTTCGCAACCCAAAACTATAAATGGGTATAAATGTAAATTTTTGAATTTTTATACATTTTTGTCTGCATTAAATGTAATTAAATGAACTTAAAACATTTTCATTGACCTTTTTTCAACTAAAGCATTTATAAAACACTTTATGTGAAAAAACATTTCACATTCAAAAATTAATGTGAATCCTGGTTTTACAAAACATTTTAAAACTATAAAAATCAAAAAACTAATAATGCAAATTTGTTTATTCAGGTTGAATGAAATGAGCAATAAAATCAAGTGCATCATGGGAAGGAAATAAATGACGCCTGCAGCAAAAAAAGCTTTTTTTAGTTTAATGTTTACAGTAGATGGATTCAAAGTATTTAAAAACCGGTTCTCACCCTAAAAACATTTGAGAGCCATTCCGCACTGACACACAAAAAACATCAATTTTTGGCAAATTCGGAAAATTTTGGAAAAACAACCATAATACTATACCGGATGCCTACCTAATTCCTGAATTTAAACTGTGTAAATTACATCGCCCCAAACGTAAGAACAACAAGTTGAAAAATTTTTTACTTTTCTAACTAAATTTATATTCTTAGATAATTTATAAATTAATATCTTAGCATTCAAAAATGACCTTTTAAAATTTGTAACCCCCTCAAATTGAGGTGGGTTCAAATTTCATACTTTAGTCTTCATTTATAGTATATATTATATAATATATATATATATATATATATATATATATATATATATATATATATATATATATATATATATATATATATATATATATATATATATATATATATATATATATGTATTTATTTATTTATTTATTTACATATAGAAAATCAACTTTTCATGGGACTATAAGTTTCATGGTAATTATAAGCCATGTACTATATAGCATACCGCTCTATTTAGAAAGTTGTTTAGTTTCTTTATTATTGAGCACTCTTAACCGAAATAGAGTTTTGTATTATTTATATAATACACATTACACATTAATCGATATATATATATATATATATATATATATATATATATATATATATATATATATATATATATATATATATATATATATATATATATATATATATATATATATATATATATATATATATATATATATATATATATATATAAGTTGTTTATATATATTGTTTTTAAAATATTGGTTTTAAAACTTTTAACCGTAAAACTTAGATTCTCCAAAAGTATAGACATTTTGTTTTAATTTTCTATTTGACGTCATCAAGCATAAAAGTTTTTGTTGCAACAGGAAAGTACAATGGCTGAAAATTTAGACAAAAGAAATGAGGAATATGAAACAGATATTGATACAAAAGGTTACTTAAGTAACATTTTAATTATCTTTTAAATGTTTTTTATACTAAAAAAAATATGTTAGCCAATATTGAAAGTTAATATTTAATAAACGTATACATTAAAAGGCTTGAAGCGTACGTAAAACCTTTCAAAAAATTATATATAAAAAGTTTGATGATTTTAAATATTTCTATTGATTTTGTTTGAATGGTTTTTTTAAGTTTGTACTTGAAAAAAAAAAATTTCTTTTGGATTTCTATTGCATATTTAAAAATACAATAACTATAATTAGCTCTAAATATAAATCTAAATATAAATCTAAACTTTTATATTAATAAATTGCACAATCTAACATCAAGTCCACTTTCTCTATGTTTTTTTTTTTTATGTTTTCTATGTTTTCTTTCTATATTTATTCTCTATTTTTGAACACGGTTTCGTCTTGCATTGTACTTATTTCACATCAATTCTTCGCAAAGTTCACTTAGTCCGTGGATAATGACGCTCTGTAAAAAAGTGAATCTTCTTTCTGCAAACTTTGGTATGTGGCAACCATATCTTGGTATGAGGCATCCATATGGCAATTAGCCGGACACATCACAATATCATTAGTTAAGATAAAAAATGTCTGCAATGATAAAATATGTCCGCAGTGATATAAAAAAGATGAAACTAAAGATATCTTGGATTAATACCACCCTAATGAATACCTTCATTGTAACATCTTTTAATTTATTTTATTTGGATTGAAATGCAAGCGAGAGTTTATTTGGATGCAAATGCGAGAGTTTGGCAATACTTTATTAGATACTCTTGTTGGAGAAATGTAATTTGATAGGATGAAAAGTTATCATGAAAATAAAACTTTTATCAAAAATTGTTTAATTAAAAAGCTTAAAAATAAAGTTAAAACTTTATTAGAGAAAGAATATATAATAATCAGAAATCCAAACACATGCAAAAAATACGAATATAAAATAAGAAATATTTTATCTATTTTAAACTTGATAGTAATAAGCGCAATTATTTTAAATAGAAATTGAAAGTTTGTTACTTTCGTTTTAGGGAAATTATAATTAACTTTGTATATTTATATTTTTTTAAGGCAATTTTCTTGCCTTTTATTCATTTTTTATTATTCTATTTTTTTTTTTATTCATTTTATGTCATTGCTTATATATTTTGGGTTTTTTTTTATTTTTTAATTTTTGTATATGGATCCGAAGGACATCTTTGTAAAACAACTAATATTTTTATACGGCATTTTACGTATTCTGGTAATTATAACGGCGTCAGTATGGCAACTAGACATATGAAGAAATAAAAACAATGATGCAATCAGTTCCACATTTTAAACAATACATTTTCTGTCTGCTTTTATCCATGCCACAACTAATTCTAACTTATACTTTTATTTACTTCAGCTTTTTTACAAACTCACTCACTCTTGGTACCTTGAAGCGGGTTATAATGTTTTTTAGTGAGCTGAACTTGTCTTTGCGGACCTTGGCATCTGTATGTCAGTTAGCCGGAGGAGGATAAAGCACAATACCTATTTAAAAGTAAAATACATTATGGATACATTAAGCAAGACTAACAAACTAACGTTTAGTGTAAATAAAATCAATAATAAATAAAATAATTTCAAAACGTTTAATATATTTTTAGTTAGACAATAAACCATATAATAGATGTAGAAAATACATTTGAATCTTGACGTTTAATGGAGGTTTGTTTTTAACGTTGTTCTGTATTTTATTTTGAACGAATAATCGACCAAAACTAAACGTTTTATCTAAAAGTTGTTTTAACGTTTAATAAACGTCCATGTGTTTAGTGGAAAGATATATTATTAGGATCATACGATGAGTTAGATTACATTATAGGACCAACATGACTAACTTTTCTGTAACTTGAATACAAAAAAAGCTTCTTCTTTATTCATCACCAAAAATCTCAGCCAGGATTAGAAGGAATAAAGCATCTGCCATTTAGAAAAAAATAAGAATTTTTTTATGGCTAGTGTGTGGCTTTTTTATATCTAAACTGGAGGACCTCTATTCAATGTTGTACAAACATGATATAAATCTTAGCTCATTCTAATCAAATCTGATGATCTACTCCATTTTTTCCGCATTTCCCTTGACGTTTGACCAGTCTTTCCGCAGTCAAATCTAAGCTGCTCTTACGGAGCCGTTAGTTTTCTCACCAGAGCTTCGATGAAATGAGATTTCTTATTTTATCAAAGTTAACTCCGTTATAGGTTTCAGCAGAACTAATCCAAGAATCATGTTATTTATGTTTTCAGTATTGGACACAGAACACTGATTCTTTCAACAAAAATGGTAACATTTAGATTTTTCATCTCCATTTTCTTAATCTTTTTTGCCGTCAAAATGCAGGACAAACCTGCAGAACAAACCTCTTTCCTTTTGATGTTTCTATTATATCCTCTCATATTAAATTAAATAACTTTATCATATTACTTATCATAAAAGTTTTTCTCAAACAAATTTTAAATTTTGTATTGATTATTGTGGACCATTTTTATGGTATAAAATAGTTTAAAAAAATTTTACTAAGGATTTTTATTCCTCACAATTCCTTTAAACGAGAAAAGGACTGATACTTATCAATAATCAAATAACAAGTGTATAACAAATCTCTAATTAAATAACAAGTGTATAACAAATTTCTAATCAAACTGGATGTATTTTAATTTAGTTTAACTAAAATTAATACAAACATTTTTAGATTTGAATATAATATTTAATTTACCCTAGTTTGTCTTTAAAATCAGAGTTTTGAGTAGTTTTTCAACAGAATCTTCCTCTTTGAAAGAAACAGCGTCTGACTCAGCGTCTATACAGAAAAACCAGCACCGTACTTAAAGGAACAGAGCAAACATTTTTTTAGTGGATTTGCAGTGGAACTATATAGTCATTTTAAGCGGTTCATTGGAGTTTTGCTCATCGTTTACTTAGTGGATCATCAGTGGCAGCCGCTACAAATAGCAAACCAATAACTTTCCGAAATGTTAATAATAGTTAGTCATTGGCTACCCACTTTTGGCGGCGGCAACTAATGGTCCACTAAGTAACCGTTGAGCAAAACTTCAGTGGACCGCTCAAAATGTCTATATAGGTTCACTAAAATTCCGCTATAGAATGTTTACTGAAAAGCGTCATGTTCACTTAAAACAGTTCCTTTGCCTCTTGTCCTTTCTCCACTTCTGTACTTTTTATATTCTTTGTTTTCTGCCAAACTTATCTCTTTTTAAAAAACTTTTTAAATTTTTTGTTGTTTTCTGTAGAAATATACCTTTTTCTATACTTTTTCTAGTCTAAATATCTCTTCTGCCTTCGCATTCTGGGGAAAAAATTAATCTTTTTCTCAACCTTCACCATAGATATGTTTAGAAGTATGCTGATCTCCTGAATGAATTCTTCCTGCATCTCGGTAAATCTTCTAATGCTGGAACCCCATTTTTATATTTTTATTTTTAGGTTCAAATTTTATTTTTGCTTTAAATTATCCGAATGCAATAACTGCTATTGCACACAAATTTTGTTCATTTTCAAGTTATTTTAACAATACATTAAACAAAACATTTTTTGTTGTTCATTTACAATACAAAAAATAAAAAATACGTTGCGTTGAAACAACCTGTTGAACCTTGACGCTGTGCTAAGATTGCTGACGAATTTTATGTTCAATGTCGAGCAAGTAATTGCTTTAACTATAAGGCAAGGAAGCTTCATTTTTATTGCCTATACAAGAAAACAACTTTTGAAAATCTTTGCCTAAAGAAATAAAGTTAGCTGTCACATTACTTTTTAAGTTGATTTGCAGATTACCGGATAATAGCCAATCTAAATGTTATAAACTTTTTGTTGATAACTTGATAAAAAAAATACATTTTCTTACCCTCAAGGAAATAGTTGAGATAATTGCCAGTTTTACAAAGTTAAGTAATCCTTACAAAAAATTAGAGGAAAAATGTTTCACTAAAAAGAAGAAGTTTAATGTTTCGCTTATTAAATGTCAAGTGGTGATGGAGAATGTATTTGGAATATTAAAAGGTCAATTTCAATGTCTTTTAAATTGATTAGTTATAATAGCTAAACACACATTCAATACTGTTACAATATGTTATATACTGCATAATTTCTGTACTTCAACAGGGCAAAATTTTATAAACAAATGGTTTGAACAAACAGAACAGATTGAACGAATGGATTGAATAAACAGAGATTGGCTTAGTAAACCCTCTATTAAACCATAGTTGTAATGAACTTAACAATAAAGATGAGTTTAGAAGAAGTGCATATAAAAAAAATGTTATTTTACAACTACTTTGGTTTAAATGAACTTTTTTTTCAACTTTTGAAAAATTTCTGTTTTTTCCATTCAAATTCTGATTCTGGCCTTGTTGATCACCAATTCTTGACCTTCCTACGCCTTCCTACGCCTTCCTACGCCACTGGTAGTGAGTAATTCAAAAAAATAATAACTTGTAGTTAACACCAGGTTTGTTTGCAACATGTGTAACGTTATTTATAAATATATATAATAATATTAAATAAAACGTTATAAAGATTTTCTTGTTTTTTTAATAAACAAATCAAATAGCTATTTCAAATCGATCCAACGTAACAAAAAAGAAAACGCAAGACTTCAACTTTTCTTGAATATTATTTTCATAACATTTACTAATTAGTATTTGTGTTTCCTCGTCATACCAATGTTTATCTCTCTTTTTATATTTTATTTTTTCTTCAGCAACAGTTTTTTCCTCCGCCATTTAAAAACAGTTTTTAAATTGCGAAGAAAAATAATTGGACTTGAATAAAATAAAGTAATAAAATACAAATAAAACAACCTAATGAGTTTGTATTGTATAAACATCTTTTATCGTTGCGTGTTTAAATTAAAACCAATTTTAAATTTGGTAAGTAGTACCAAGTACCAAAATTTTTTTTTTTTTTTTTTTTTTTTTTTTTTTTAATCATTAAAGGTCAAAAAAGTAACAAAAACAATTAACTAATAAAACAATTTAAAAATACAAGTTAAATAATTCCACATTGTACATTTTCCAGGCCAACATCGTCAGTGTTATAATGCCTAAATGGGGTTCGTGACCCTCTTAAGCAGAGTAGGGAGGCTCTAGTAATCTCCATGGAAAGACGTGTCCTTAGCTTATTTAAAACAGCTCCGTACCGCTCACCCATTTTTAAGGACAGTTTTTGTGCGAGTAGTGTTGTGAAGCGTTTGCATTCGTCTCCAAACCTACCATTCGTACCAAAAATTAATGGGGTAAATGTCCCGTGTTCAACCTCTAGAACTCGTTCTAAATACTCACGTTTTTATGCATCTTCATGCCTACGGAATATGTGTTTTGTTGGTTGTTTTTTGGAGGATTTGGAGTTTACGTGCGTTACTCTAACATCAAAAAATGCAGTTTCTCCTTTTCTCCAAAACCCTTTTGCTTTTATATCCAATCTAGCTTCGTTGTTGGTATTGGCAGTTTTGAAATTAAATTTTTCATTTGTCAATGGAATTAAATGCAGCTACGCTTGAATAACAGTACAAACTTTATTTAGGCAAACAGTTAATAAATCTCTGATGTTATCATGTCTGTTACAAACAAAGCCACCTTTTTTGCATGACATTGCGTGTAGCTCGTCAAATTTTTCTCCACAAGCACAGTAGGATGGTAAATTGGCAAGTGGCACATTATATCTCAATCTAAGTGCGTCCTTAAACTCTTCCTTATTCAGATCTAGATGTTGTTCTTTAATTGGTAAGATGTTTAACCAGCTGCTGGCACCTTTGTCACAGGCTTGTTCAACCAGAAGTTTAAGGTTTTCTGGAAGTCCTGCATGTATTTTTTTAACCTCTTCTTTTTTTTTTTTTTTGATTTATCCATATTTGTTTTTGTTTTTATTTCTGAAAATGTTTTCCCGAAATCATCTTTTTCTTTCATAACATCTGACTGATCGAGTATTGATTTTATGTGCAAGTTAGTTATTTTCTTAGAGGCAGTATGCTGTTCCTTGGCCTCAGTTATTAAGTTACAAATTCCAAGTCCTCCTTCCGATGGATTTAGCGCCAATAAATCCCTATTTTCTTTGATTATAGAACAATCAGTTCCAAACAATACAGGTAAAAACTTTTCTGATAAAATTTTTTCCACTGGTGTTACGAAATTTTCAAAAGCTTCAATTGTGCGTAAGAAGTAAGTGAATTTAGACCTGTACCCTTTAATAAAAGCTAAATAAGCAGCTTGTGGTTGCGTGGTGGCAATTTTGCAGAGATTGTTAAGTTCTATAGACCATTTACTTACTAAATCCTCGCAATACACTTTTTTGTATGCTTCCGAACCAAGTACAGCTCCTAAGTGCCTTTTTGCCTAAGTAGTTATATTTATGGAGTTGCTAAATATAAGTTTAGCTTCTTCAGCTTGGTTATCAGATTTTACTATTAGCCAGCATTTTGATTGATTTACATAATAACCATACAAACCACCGACATCCTCTAGGCATTTATACCACTTTTTTAAAGACTGTAATTTTCCTGCAGCGGTAGCACCATCGGCTAACCATACTTGTTTTACATCAGGAATTACTAGTTTCAATGTATTTATGATTGTCACAGTGCTAAGTGACTACCATGGCATGGCGAGAGGATCGCCCTGCGTTGTGCCTTCTTTCGAAAAAATAGTTTCTCCACCGTAGATGAATAATTTTGCCGGTTTACGGTAAGTTCTCACCAAATTAAATTAACAAGTTTTAAGAGTTAAAACGTGTTAATATAATTTGATAGTTAAAACGTGTTTTATGGTCAGTATTAACTGATAAGCTACACTAGCCAAATTTGTGTCCTTTGATAATGGAATTAAGTAATAGTCCCAAAGATTTAGTGATAATAATGCTTAAAAGCAAGGTAGTGTCATGAGACCTAAAAATATACAATAATGCTATTTCTTTTAGATCATTTGGATTTATACGACGCAACGGGAAGATCTGCATACTTTGAAGCCTGTAAACGGTACAGTGTCATTCCAATTACTCATTTTTTAAACAAAATGACAGAAGAAGAAATGAACTTACAATATTATGGTGCTGGTGCCAAAGGCGCAAAAGCCATTTCTGCTGCATTATTGGTAGTTTAAACTTCTATTGCGTTATTGGTATTTTAAGATTTCTATTATTATTATGTAATTCTAGTATTGTTAGTCTAAAAAACAACGTAACAGTATTTATTTATATAACACTTTAAACATTCATAACATTTTTTGTTATAATAAACAAATTTATAGACTTAGTTTGTAAATTAACATATTTATTTCATTATTTGGTTTTTTTTCTTGTTGAAAGACTATTATTATTATTGTTGTTGTTGGTGTTGTTGTTGTTGTTATTATTATTGTTGTTGTTGTTGTTGTTATTGTTGTTGTTGTTGTTGTTGTTGTTATTGTTGTTGTTGTTGTTATTGTTGGTGCTGGTGGTGCTGGTGGTGGTGCTGTTGTTATTGTTGTTGTTTTCCCAGTGGACACGGACGTAAAAAAGACATCTTTTAAACGTCTTATACATTGGACATATCTTGGACGTCTTTTGAACGTCTTTTGAACGTTTTGGACGTCTTTTGAACGTTCAAAAGACGTCTTTTTTTGGTCCGGTGCCCACTGGGTTTGTTATGTTAACTTAATCATTATAAAAACTTTCGATATAATAAACAAACAAAAGATTATCAAACAACATAAATGAGTTTATTAACTAAATTTATAAAATATTTATTTATTAATTATTAACTTTTTTAAAAAATTTTCAGAGCAATACAGTGACTTTGGAATTGAACTTAAAAGAAAATCACATTGGACTAGAAGGATCTAAATCCATATCAGCAATGTTGAAAGAAAATTGCTACATATTGGATATTGTAATAATACTAATAGTAACTAATAGTGAAGGGGTGGTAGATGGGAGTGGAACATCATGAATAGGTACTTAGTAATAAGGTTTTATGAATCTGCAAAAGTTAAATAATAAATTAGATAAAGTTTTATTTTAAAAAAATTCTTTTTTTTTAAAATGATAATGGTGTTCCACCGCTTATGACACCCCATTCACTAAAAAAATTTTTTTTAGTATAAAGTTATTAAAAGGTTGTATTAAAAATTGATTTTTAGAGAAAAAACAAAACAATAAATATACAATGACAAAACAACAATAATAATATCGACAATTGTTGTCGATTTTTGTTGTTGTTGTGGGTCGTTTGCAAATTACGTCACGCTTTTAGGGTGGGGGGTCATAGATTTTGTGACAAGCTGTGACAAGAAGCATTACTTATAATGTATATTTTGTGACAAGGCGGGGGGAGGGGGTCTAAAAAGTTGCTTTTTTGTGTGACATAATTTGCCAATGATCCCTTGTTGTTTTGTATAATACAGGTGTATTACAGTTATATGTATAATACACCAGTATTCCCCAAACGATTATAATCTAAAACTAATACAATATATTACTATTCAATTGTCAATATTTGATTAATCGTTAATAAATATATTATAAATAATATTATATAAAATCAACATCGATCGTTTTTTGAGAATCGGTAAAATATCATATTAAACTTCAATAATCGATGAAACGTCAGATTATGGATAAAAGTATCATACTATAGTATAATATGTTTTAACTATTGTACAACTTTTTATTCATACCAGCATAATTTTTCACACATAATATTTCACACATAATTTTTCACACATAATTTTTCACACATAATTTTTCACATATAATTTTTTACACAATTAAAAAAGTGTACATAAACTTTTTTTAATACATTTGCCCTCTGTTGGTATAAAATGTATATTTATTTTTTGATTCAGAAAAGTTAATCCAATTAACATAACATTTATAAACCAAGGCATCATACCCATATATATATCTTTAAAATAAAATGTTAACCTTTATAAAAAGATATGTTTTAGAATTTATCAGCAAACTTTATGGGACCAGAAGGTTGTCGTTATGTAAGTGAGATGTTACATCAAAACATAAGTCTTAAAAGACTTAATATTTCAAAGAACAACTTTGGTGACTCAGTTGGTCAGTATTTATGCGATGCGTTTAAGGTTTGAACTTTAAAATATTTGGTTATACTTTGAAAACTTAAAAGTAAATTATTTAGAATTAAAATATTCAGAATAACTTGCTTTAGAAATATGTGGTTTAGAAATATGTGATTTAAAGTTATCTGGTTTTAGACTGCTGTTTTAGAATAATTTTAAACTAACTTGGTTGGATTTGAGCAGCAACGGTTTAAGCGATAAAGTGGCTGCTGCAATTAGTCCTGGAATTGGTAAATATCAACATTAAGACCTATAGAGCCATGGTGCAGTGGATAGCTGACTTCATAATAAAGAGGTCTGCGGCTTAATGCCTGCTTTGGCTATACATGCTTAATAGTAAGGAAGGCGGCGTTAAACTTCTCGTTAAACAAGGTTTTACCATAGCGCACCCGCGATGCTTTATAATAAAAAACCTAAGACTTTTTAAAGCCCATTTACATCATTTAATAAAACAATAAATAGATCTGACATTATTTAAAATCTTTAAAATATATTTATTGGAAAACTTTACATAAAGAATAACTACAGATATTCTATATATACTGATTAGACGAATTATGTTAGACGATTAGTCTTAAATGAATTTTATATATTACTACGTTCTTTTTTTAAAGTTTTTGTGTCGAGCATTTTTTTTTTTTTTTTAAATTAAACTTATTCATCAGGCTACTAAATGACCCTATATTTTACATTTTTATACTTAATCAATTGCCACGTATATATATTAATAAAGATCATTTGTGGGTGAGGTATTGACAATATGCAAGCAATTTGATGTAAACGGGCTCCAATAAATGATCGATGGTAACAAAATTATAATTGCACGCCCAAAGGAAGTATTGGAGCCTAATGTTGCGTTAATTTTAAAACAATTATTTTAACTATGAAATTTAAACAAAAAAAGAAAAAAATTTAAAAAACATTACAATAATAGTTATAATTAAATAAACAATCATAACATTAAAAATAATGAAATGGTTTTAAATTCAATGGGCCTCAATACTCTGACCTCTTGATTCTGAAGCCAGCGCTCCAACCACTTTACTGCGGCTGCAATATATTTTGTAAATAATTAAAATTTTATATAATTATTATAGCTGACATAATATTAGCATGGCTAGCAAGATATTATTATTCTGGTTGGCATGGTAATAACTTGCAAATTCTTATGTTTACTGCTAACTCAATAATCAGTAACAAAAATTACATTTTAGACGGAAATGACGCATTGGAATATCTGAATCTTAGTTGGAATCAATTTAGAGGAAAAGCAATGCAAAACATAGCAATGGGTTTAAGGGTCAGTAATTTACTTTTTTTTAATTAAAAAGCAACGTAAAACATAGCAATGGTTTAAAAGGTCAGTAATTTACACTTTTTATTTAAAAAACAATACAAGCATAACAACGTGAATAAGGGTCAGTAATTTACATTTTTTATTTATAAAGCATAAACTTATTTCTTTATTTTTCACATTTTGCCATCTAATATTTAGATAGCATTTTATCCAATGTTATACTCCTTTTTTTTTATCCAATAATATCCTTCATTTTTTAACCTGTAGTAATTTAGCTTTTCAAAAAAATCAATTTTGTCAAATGCCCTATATTGATAAACACTCCAAGAGTAAATTTTTTTCAAAACCATCACTTATTTGGTCGACTAGTTTAGCACGCATGTTTAGTTAAATAACTGTTATGAAATCAAATAGCTTGAGATTAAATCATTTTTAAATAATCATAAACTCTATTCTAAAAACGTTTAAAGATTTTTAAGAATATTTTTAAGCATCGTAATAGACTTATAGTTAGAGACGCCAGAATGATTACTTTGTAAATTTTTGTAAGTTTAAGAGTTGAGTTTTAATATTCTTGTAAGTTTAAGAATTGAGTTTTAATATTCTTGTAAGTTTAAGAATTGAGTTCTAATATTCTTGTAAGCCAAGAACACATTAAAGTTATAGTTCAAAGTTTTAATAGAATATTAAATATTTATTGTTCTCAGTTTGAAAACTCATAATTTATCTACTCAATACTCATAATTTTTCTCTACTTAATACAGGCCAACTGTGCTCTAAAAGTTTTGGATATTTCTTGGAATGGATTTTCAAACGAAGGTGCTATTGGTCTAGCTGAAGCATTGAAAGTAAACAACACACTTATTGAACTCGATATTAGGTTAGTGAGTTTTGATTTAAACAATTAAAATATCGGCACAAGATCAGGCACGTAAATTGCGTTTATAATTTATTCCAGCAATAACAGGATAAGTATGAATGGATGCATTGCAATTGCAAAAAGTCTTGATTTAAACAACACTTTAGAAGTTCTTAAAGTAAGTAAACCATAATTTATGATGATGAATTATATTCTTGAATAGTAAATCGGCTTGAAAAAAGTTATATAAAGTACAACTTTTAATAAAATAATGGCATTTAAATAAAGATTCAAATGTAAATAAAGTTTAAAATACATTTCAAATTTATAATTAAATAAAAATAAAATATAATTGGGTATGAGGAAACTGGGTACAAATAAAAAATGTATTTTCAATTGAAAAAACTACTTTTAGTTTTTTTTTGAATAAAGTTTTATTAATAAGAAAAATAAAATTTTTAAAAATTTTTTGGTTCAATAAAGTTTGTTTGGAAGAATGGTTGTTTAATAAAGTTATCATTTCTTAAAAAAACTTAATTTTCTTCGTTATTCTTCAACAAATTTTAACGATGAAGTCTGCATCATTTGATTACTTATTCACGAAAAAAGAGTTGAATTAATTTTCGCTCCGAACTTTTGAAAGAGGAACAGAATTTGATTGTCAGACGAACTTATATCTTAGTTAAAAATAATATTCCCTAAATAATGATAATATATCCTCTAAATAATTGGGAAGGTTGCTCAAAATATATATGGTCATAATTTTTGTACATTAAGAGATTATTGCATGACATTAGAGACTTGTTAATGAACTTAAATTTAGCTTAAAATGTTAAAAAAATGTATATATAAATGTTATAAACTCGTTACTCTCAAGCTAATGGCATGAAAGGGAGGCAAACATTTTAGGGATTTATTGTTAACAGACTCCGATTATCACAATACTTTTGAAAGGCTTTACATAAACATAAATATATAAATGTTTGGAGTTTGCTCCATGTCCATTCTCAAACAAAAACAAAAAGTTTGCTACGGGCCTGATTTTAAATATGTGTTTGGAATCTTGTTGTTTAAATATTGTGATTTGTACTTTTGTTAAATTTTTTACTTTAAAATTTTTGAAAATTTAGAGTAAAAAGAGTAACAAAAAGTTTTGATAAAAAAAATTTTTCATCGATATGATGAAAAAGAACTTGATGTTCATCTAATGATGAAAAAGAACTTGATGTTCATCTGTATGATGAAATAACATTCGTTATATTAAATAAATTAGAATAAGCGGTTGTTGTGGTTATAAAAAGTTATAAATTTTTTTTTTAATTAATTACTTTCACTTTTTTAACTTTAATTTTTTTCTTAACTAATCTTGACGTTATTTACATCAGTTATTGAAAAGTTTTTTTTTTAAAAGACTGTCTGATTTATTGTTCTTGCTTTACAAATGGCTCATTTTGCAATTTTGTTCCAAGTTTTGTATTTTGGCTTCTTTTATTTAGCGTGGTTGTTGTTAAAAACCAATATAGCCAAAATGGAAGTTCCTTCTGGAAATGACTAACTGGAATATTTGTTGTCTGGAATAGACTAATTGAAATTAGTTCATTCCAGACAACAGCTTTAAGAATAGCTATTAATAAAAAAAAAAAAAAAAAAATGTATTTCTGTCCCGAACGGGGGGTGTAGGGGTTGTCATCCCCCCTTCCCTTAAAAGCGGTTATATATGCATTTGAGTTGGCACATTTGTACATTTAGGAATTCAGTTGGCAAGTTTTGAAATATAGTTGGCAAATGTCAAATATCGAGGTCCTTTTTTGTGTGTGTGTGTGTCACTAGTTGGCAAAAAACACGTACGATATCCCCCCTCCCCCCATGAGAGACCTTTTCGCGACGACCCTGACAACAACAAGAGAAGCGAAAAGCAGCAGCGCAGCTACAAATATGCTCGGCTCCTTAATGGTAAATTTTTATCAGGGCCACTAACTTATTTCCTTCCGACAAAGAAATTAATCAAAAAAGTGCCTTTTCAAAGCTTTTTTGCAAAATATCTTTCTTTCTAAAAAGTTATAAACCTCAACTTTAAAGAAAAACAAAATATTAGAGAAAAAAAATCCCTTGCCCAGGAAAAAAATTTAACATGCATGTTCAATGGGACCTCATAAATGCTGTCAAGATAAAGTAAAATCAAACTAAATTCTTAAAGATAAAGTATAATAAAAAAAAGAGATTTAAAAAAGTGGAGTTCTCCAGTTGGCTCTGAAAACAATTTTAACATGTACGTTTATTAAATTTACACAAATGCTGGAAGTTTTAGAGCTCCAGCTAGTCTGCAAAGTAGTGAAAAACCAATAGCAAGGTTCTGGGACAACTGATAGCCGACAAACAATTTGCGAAGTCTAACTAACATTTGAAAAATAATTATAAGTTTATTCTAAAGCACTATTTTAATTGAATAAGATTTTATTTTTCTAATCATTCTTGTGCGGGTTGAACACCAACGCAACAAAAAGAAGGTTATGAGGGTGTCCACAGCCTATAGTAGAAGATTGACCAGCTTCTCTTACCATCTTTTTTTAAATAGATTATAAAACGCAATAAAAGATTAAATCTGATAAACACTCCTTTAATCAAAGAATATCAGATAGTTTAAATGATTTATAATTTTTTGAAAACTGTTTTAGCAGTCGATATCCTTGCGGATACCAAAAAAATGTTATATTGCGTCATATTGTCATAACAAAATACTTGATTGAAAAGACAAACACAAAAAAAAGAACTGCAGAAAGAGCGCGCTCTAATGAACAATCAAGGTTTACACATGCATGAATTACCATTAGCTTAGAAATTATGCCTCTTTCCCCCTCCCCTCCCTTCAAAGTTATATTATGGCCATTAACCTATTTCTGCTTAACAAAAAAAAAAGAAACAAAAAAACAATGGTTGTTTAGCAGCCCCTATTAACTCTCATGCCCGTCTCTACACTACTGATATACCCGCATGTTGAATATATTTGTCCCTAATTATAATAGAACTACCCTTTACAATATCCGTGCAAAAAATCCTTTCCCGATACCCCACCACAAACACTGCGCGCATACATCAGCGTATTACCAGAAGTATTACCCTCAAATAGGCAATAGATTTGAATACGCTACCTCTCTCAAAATTTATGTTAAATCACATGAAATGACTGTTTTTTGAGAAAGTAAATAATATAACTTACAATTTACTTACTTACATAGTAAAGTATAAAATTTCAAAGAAAAAATTTACTATTACTTGTAATTGTAAATAACAATTTTTTTCAAATTACTTTTATGCAAGCTGTTTTTGCTAATTAGTTAATTTTACACGTAAAAGTAATTTATTATTAAGGTGTAGTTTTACTTCACGTAGTTTTATTTCATGTAGTTTACTTCATAAATAACTTTTTTTTACATATTATTACATATATTATAAACGAATTTCCTTTAAATGTAAGTAAATTATATATTTTTATATGAGTTATGTTAAGTAATTTACGCTTAAAAGTAATTCTCATTTTTACA